CAATGCCGCTAAAACCTTATTTGATGAAGTCATGTTTTTCAAGTGCTTGGAGTTTTCCTCGTTCGGTGTTCATTTCAGTTGACGCATCGGAACGATTTTGACGAGGTTCATTTTGATGCGACTGCTGCTTTCTCCTCATCTTCGACCGCATTGTGGGACTTTTCCAATGTGACGACCAGTGCGTAGAGAAACGGAACAATTAAACTTTACTCCCAACCCCTCTCCCCCTCTCCGTCGTTCAGAGAGACGCTGGCGAAATAGAAATCTCTCGTAAACGGCGAATTTTCTACGCCTTGACAATCATAAGTCACCAACGTGAAATTTACTTTCCACTGCGGATAATAATACCCGTCAAGTATTGACGGGACCACGGCGTTCGTTCTTTTCATACATCACTCACCATATTGCGTTAAAAAGGTTGACGGTACGGAGAAAAAAGTATTCGTGTCTATTTGTGGAGATCAATGGACGCATTTGCTGTCCTTCAAGCTGCGTCCAATCAAGCATCAGCGTATCTTTCCCTTAGACGAAACCGCGCCAGAAAGTATAACGGGCTCGGCCAGCACAGGTTCGGTTAGCGTTGCCTCGTCACCGACCGTTTCGAACTTCATGACAAGCAGTTTTTGCCAAAGCAGCAGCGCCGAAATACACACACCATCGCGGTTCTTCAAGCAACTACGCGATCTCGCACACTGGTTTCTAGTTTTTGCTCACTCTCAGCGAGAAAGACTTTAAAACAGAACTAACTACGGACAACGATACTTACTGCGCGCCTCGGCATACTCTTTCACCCTATCCATATGCAATCGGTCGTCGTGCGTATGGTGACAGCAGCAAGAAGCAAGCGGATAATTTCGACGGTCAGGCAGCGATTCACGTCTCCAGCAGCGAATACGGTGCAGTCACTTCTGCTGCCAACTTCCTCGCATCTCATCGGCTGAAGATCAGGTCGACTTTGTGATCTAGGCAGCGACAGTCGCACAGAGGACCCTCTATTTTGGCCGCCAGTTGCGAAGATGGTGTCTCGTCTTGTTGCAGTGGCTCGTGCGGATTCAGTTCAGAGTTTTCCACCGCGTCAGAACCAAGGGGAAATCGGCTGTTTTCTGGTCGGTCGTCAATCACACACGTACCTGCTTGGCACGCTGGAATTCAGCCCAGCTATTCTTGAATCGTCACGACGTCCAAAGACGAATAAGATAGGTCATGGGCGTAAGCGGCTAGACTAGCTGTGTCCGGTATCAGAATCATATCGAAACGAAGCCTTTAACCTATTTCCAGGACTAACCCTCTCAGCATCAGCATTAGACAACGTTCCGCTTGACGTCGCTGAACGAGCGACGTCAGAGGCCGTTTTCTTAACTAGCATTTAGAACTTTACTTAACCTCCGCAGCTGCCTACTTAACGTCGCAAGCCAAAGGCGCACCCTGCACCGAAAGTACAGCCGGCAAGTCAACGCGGATTGGACCCCGAGGATGAACAAAGAATCCGCAGGCGTATAAAAGGACCAGTCGGCGATGGAACAGAGTGACCATTATGTAATTATGAAAACTGTGATATCTGGCGTAGGCAGTTGTTGCCACTGGTGTGTGCGGTGCTTGCAAGTAAGGTATGATCAGACTCCGTGCCCTGTTTGCTAGCAACTCCCAGTCGGTTGCAATATGAACGCTACACAGCTTATGTAGTAGAAATAGACGATTTAGTACTATATGAAACGGGACATATGGGCTATATAGCGTAAAATATTTACAACACTGCATATACTACGGAAGCAATTTACGGTATATCCATAAAGTACGAAATAATAATGTTTATGCCATTGCATGTTGCAAAACATCCCAAATTATAGGTTCGCACGCCGCAGTGTGTTAATAGGCGGTATAACCCGTCAAAAACCGGATTTCATTTCAGATCAGCACCGCCCGTTGCTTTTGGCTGACCAGGGGCGGTATTTAGCGCTGCAGGTGTTCGAATGTTACGGAGCCATGGCCACTTGAATGGCAATTTAGGCGTCCTGCACGAAGGTATATCGTCAATACGCAGTGAAATCCGGTTTCGTTGGAATCACTCGCTGATTACTGCTGCATATATTATTACCGAGAGTATTTGTACTGCTGCTGATAAATCGATTGATAATATGCATACCACGGAATACGTTACTTGAATAATTAATGCGAGTGCAAAGAATTTACATCGTCAAGGTCTTCAAACGATTTACCCGGCACAAGTTGTAGGCCGAGTAAACCTTCTGAAGACTTTACCGATAGAGAATGCATATCACAAGAAGCATC